ATCTAGAGGATCCCCGTATTCCGTCATAAAGAACACCTGATATTCCTTCATAAAGATCACCTGTCAGTCCTTCTTAAAGTTCAGCTGATATTCCTTCATAAAGATCACCTGACATTCCTTCATAAAGATCACCTGTCAGTCCTTCTTAAAGTTCAGCTGATATTCCTTAATAAAGATCACCTGACATTCCTTCTAAAAGTTCAGCTGATATTCCTTCATAAAGATCACCTAATATTCCTTCATAAAGATCACCTGATATTCCTTCATAAAGATCACCTGATATTCCTACATAAAGAACACCTGATATTCCTTCATAAAGAACACCTGATATTCCTTCATAAAGTTCAGCTGATATTCCTTCATAAAGATCACCTGACATTCCTTCATAAAGATCACCTGTCAGTCATTCTAAAAGTTCAGCTGATATTTCTTCATAAAGATCACCTGATATTCCTTCATAAAGATCACCTGATATTCCTTCATAAAGTTCAGCTGATATTTCTTCATAAAGATCACCTGATATTCCTTCATAAAGATCACCTGATATTCCTTCATAAAGTTCAGCTGATATTCCTTCATAAAGATCACCTGATATTCCTTCATAAAGAACACCTGATATTCCTTCATAAAGAACACCTGATATTCCTTCATAAAGAACACCTGGTATTCCGTCATAAAGAACACCTGATATTCCTTCATAAAGATCACCTGTCAGTCCTTCTTAAAGTTCAGCTGATATTCCTTCATAAAGATCACCTGACATTCCTTCATAAAATCACCTGTCAGTCCTTCTTAAAGTTCAGCTGATATTCCTTAATAAAGATCACCTGACATTCCTTCTAAAAGTTCAGCTGATATTCCTTCATAAAGATCACCTAATATTCCTTCATAAAGATCACCTGATATTCCTTCATAAAGATCACCTGATATTCCTACATAAAGAACACCTGATATTCCTTCATAAAGAACACCTGATATTCCTTCATAAAGTTCAGCTGATATTCCTTCATAAAGATCACCTGACATTCCTTCATAAAGATCACCTGTCAGTCATTCTAAAAGTTCAGCTGATATTTCTTCATAAAGATCACCTGATATTCCTTCATAAAGATCACCTGATATTCCTTCATAAAGATCAGCTGATATTTCTTCATAAAGATCACCTGATATTCCTTCATAAAGATCACCTGATATTCCTTCATAAAGATCAGCTGATATTCCTTCATAAAGATCACCTGATATTCCTTCATAAAGAACACCTGATATTCCTTCATAAAGAACACCTGATATTCCTTCATAAAGAACACCTGATATTCCTTCATAAAGAACACCTGATATTCCTTCATAAAGATCACCTGTCATTCCTTCTTAAAGTTCAGCTGATATTCCTTCATAAAGATCACCTGATATTCCTTCATAAAGATCACCTGTCATTCCTTCTTAAAGATCAGCTGATATTCCTTCATAAAGATCACCTGACATTCCTTCTTAAAGATCAGCTGATATTCCTTCATAAAGATCACCTGATATTCCTTCATAAAGATCACCTGATATTCCTTCATAAAGATCACCTGATATTCCTTCATAA